AATTTGAACTTCTGAAAAGATGTAGATGATTTTGAAAAAAAAATTTGGTCAATTTGAAGCAAGTTGAAAACAGACCTTTTTGACCTTTTTTGACCTTAAGAAGGTCATTAAAGGTCAAATGTCAAATCTAAAGTCAGATTTGAATTTCTGAGAACATGTAGATGATTTTGAAAAAAAAAATTAGTCAATTTGAAGCAAGTTGAAAAAAGACCTTTTTGACCTTTTTTGACCTTGAGAAGGTCATTGAAGGTCAAATGTCAAATCTAAAGTCATATTTGAATTTCTGAGAACATGTAGATGATTTTGAAAAAAAATTTTAGTCAATTTGAAGCAAGTTGAAAAAAGGCCTTTTTGACCTTTTTTGACTTTGAGAAGGTCATTGAAGGTCAAATGTCAAATCTTAAGTCAAATCTAAAGTCAGATTTGAATTTCTGAGAACACGTAGATGATTTTGAAAATTTTTTTTAGTCAATTTGAAGCAAGTTGAAAACAGACCTTTTTGACCTTTTTTGACCTTGAGAAGGTCATTAAAGGTCAAATGTCTAATCTAAAGTCAGATTTGAATTTCTGAGAACATGTAGATGATTTTGAAAAAAAAGTTAGTAAATTTGAAGCTAGTTGAAAAAAGACCTTTTTGACCTTTTTTGACCTTGAGAAGGTCATTGAAGGTCAAATGTCAAATCTAAAGTCATATTTGAATTTCTGAGAACATGTAGATGATTTTGAAAAAATTTTTTAGTCAATTTGAAGCAAGTTGAAAACAGACCTTTTTGACCTTTTTTGACCTTGAGAAGGTCAAATGTCAAATCTTAAGTCAAATCTTAAGTCAGATTTGAATTTCTGAGAACACGTAGATGATTTTGAAAAAAAAATTTAGTCAATTTGAAGCAAGTTGAAAACAGACCTTTTTGACCTTTTTTGACCTTGAGAAGGTCATTGAAGGTCAAATGTCAAATCTGAAGTCAATTTTTTAATTGTCAAATCTAAAGTCAGATTTGAATTTCTGAGAACATGTAGATGATTTTGAAAAAAAATTTAGTCAATGTGAAGCAAGTTGAAAACAGACCTTTTTGACCTTTTTTGACCTTGAGAAGGTCATTGAAGGTCAAATGTCAAATCTGAAGTCAGATTTGAAGGTCAAATGTCAAATCTAAAGTCAGATCTGAATTTCTGAGAACATGTAGATGATTTTGAAAAAAAATTTAGTCAATGTGAAGCAAGTTGAAAAAAGACCTTTTTGACCTTGAGAAGGTCATTGAAGGTCAAATGTCAAATCTAAAGTCAGATTTGAACTTCTGACAACATGTAGATGATTTAGAAAAAAATTAAAGTCAGTCTAAACAGTATTTGTTAAGTTATAGGAAGTTGTAAGAAATTGTTACAGACGCCGGACGCCAACCGCCGGACGCCAACCACCAACCACCAACCGCCGGACGCCGTCGCAAAAAAACGGAGACCATAACAATATGTCACCACTTTTGGTGGTGACATAATAATTATAAAACTAATATATCATATACTTACGTTAAATAACATAAGTTTCTCACATTTGTAAAATCAGATTAAAACGGATCCCCCAGGGAACAAAAATGTGATAAGGAAAATATCATTGGATAAAAATGAAATAAGTACACAACGTTGCGTCACTATATAGACACATAGAAGACCAATCAAAAAGGATTATCCCATTCTAACTCAAACTGAGAATAGAATGTGACAGTTCTCAATTAATAAATATTGAACATATTAGGACTTATTATCGTCACGGTGACGAGTTAAGTCATTGTGTATGTCACCATGGCAATCTTTAAATCATAATTACTCACATGGAACAATACAATTATATTGAAGATTTTGAAAATAATGAGAATTATGTATTTTTAGAATCTGATGGGAACTACTTTATATAATTTAATTTACTCAATTACCGCTTCATAAAAAATGAAAATTACGTAATCAAATCACCCATATCAATTGATTGTTTTTAAAGGTTAAAGACAGGGTACCAGGAAAATACCAAACATGACTTAAAAATGACAGATTACCATATCGCCTACCACAATTATCAAAGTGTTTTAAACTTTACATGGGGCCTTTAAAGTACAGTATAGAAAAAAAGAATTCATCTTCTAAGACTTCTTGGTAACAGGCTATAGCAATTAATGGACATTGGATTCATTTTTTAGTGCAAGGGACGAAAAAATGACCCATGTATTTTCCTTTCTGGGCCATCTATTCTACTTTTCGCTTCAGTGCGTCAATTTTTTTTCATTTTTACTTTACAATTGAGAGAATCAACCATGCAACTACATGCCTGATTTGTTTACTCCTTTCTGATTCCTCTCATTTCCCCATCTTTTTCCATTTCAATCATGACTCATGTGTTACATTTTCATATCTGCAAGGACAACTCAGGGCTAAGCTCATGGCATTATTGATAAATGAAGCCACAATTCAGAGGTCATACTTTTGATTTTGCCATGACAACAACAAATCTTTTCATATAAACCAGGTTGGATTGACTGAGATTCAGTTGAACTGATGCTGTTACTATGGTACCATATATACTTCCAGATGGTCATGGGATTTCTCAGAGTTTAAATGCATTGATTGAGAGAAATTGCTCCATATAGATTAAACCCAGAACTACAAAGAACTGCTCACAAAAGTATAATATTTTCATAGATTTTCTCCGTCTTTAAGATCATCAGATCATAGAGAGAAATTAGAGAGGACTAAAAGGGAGCAGATAAATCGTCAACATATAAACAGTGATCTCCAATCGGAGGAAATGAAATCCAAATTAAACAATCAAATTATAGTGATAAGAAATGAGGTATGAGAAAAAATGACATAAGGGTCATGATTTCAAATGGAAAATAGAGAAGGAAAGAGTAACGCTAGGATGGAATAAAATACACATACATAGAGTCAACATTCTAAATTGTATAGAAATATAAAAAATTCAAATACTTTATTCAAATTTTATTGAGAAAATCGAAGTAATAGACACGCCAAACGAGAATTTAGGCACAGAACGACAAAGGCAATAATAAACTGGAGATCCTCCCATTAGAGCAAGAAACGGCACACTGAACATTACCAGGATAAATGGTATATGACATTGGAATTGTATTATTTTCTCAATTTATTTCATCGTCGTTTACGTGGAAGATTGTAAATTTAACACAGTGATGGTTAACATAGAAAATTTCATATGATGCCAGATTGGATTTTCCGGCTTTAATACAGAGAATTTCTCTCACGTACTGTACTCATATAAGGTTTGTTATCTGTTAAGTTCAACAGTTGGGATTTCACAATATGATTTGGGGATTTTCAAATAATAGAACAAATAATCATAAACATTAGGAGATAAGTCCATCAACTACAAGTATAAATGATATTTTTGAAAATTCTAGAAGGTCCAGGTTATAATTATGTGAAAAACTGAGAAAAATAGAAATTGAAATTCAATTTGAGTCGGCAATAATGGTCTCAGGTTACATGACTTCGTATGAGTTAGGGTCTTTTGTGAAGGTTTTATATTTATAACAATGAATAACAATTCAGGAAACAGACATCTAAATATTATATCAATAATTAACGATATGAATTAATTAGTTTCAAATTACCATATCAATTATAGATTCCAAAAGCTTTTAGTCAATCTGTTAGATTTCTTGAATGGGGTTGTTCGAATTATTATACACATTGTTATAGCAATCATGGGCATTCTATTGAAAGCCCATGTACTAATCTAGACTTTTTGAATAAAATTATAAGCAAAAATGCATTCTAAAAACATATATTTGATTTGAATAAATAAGATTAGGTGTTGAATTTGATTTTAAAAAAATTCATGCCAGGATATCTATTGCATATTTTCATTTCTGTTGTAAAACGTTCATAGAGACTGTTTTGTATCTATTCTAGTTATTGACCTCATTTAGTGAATATTTGGCCCAATGACGTTCACTGATGCACAGATTAAGCCAAACTGCACAGAGGGACTTTCAACTCTAAAAAGTGAAATTAATGATTCTCAACCCATGAAAAAAATCAAGTAGTGACATATACCAACTAATAGTGACACAGACTGCAAACATAGTGACATATGCAGGCATCATATATGGTCAACAGGTGTCGTAATGAAACACAAAAAATCCAGATGTGCATTAAGATTTAAGTGAGAAAAATAAGGCTTGAGGGGAGAAAATTTATCCCGAAAATTTAGGTACGGGTACAAGCTCAGTGTATTGTTCAAAATAGGATCACAAGTTTATGCTCACCACATCTTTAAATCCCATAACGAGACCTAGAGATCTTAAAGATTAATTGTCCCCTCGTGTAATGGTTACAGTACAGAATTTTCACAACTTCATTGGGTTAGAACTTGTAGGATTTCATTGTGATATTATCGCTCACGTAAGAGAAATTGACCTTCAGTATGTCTAATTCGGGTTTAATGTAATTTATAATGCCAGGAACATTTATCAAGAAGTGCTCATTCACAATTATCAAAACTCCAAATTTCCAGATTTCAAAGGTACAAAATTCAATTAAATAAAAAAGTTCAAATAACATTCAATAATTCATGGTCTGTAGTACTTTACACGTCTGATAATTAGACACAAGCAAAAAACTGTTAATTTAGAACCGTAATGTGAGAATCGTCATGTAATTCTCATGATTACAATTAGCAATAATAATTAAAGAAATGGGACATATTTCAATCAAAATATTACGTTAAAGTTAATGTTCAAAAGACATTTCACCAAATTTTTTGAAATTTTGGAACTGCCTTAATTGTTGTTTCATATGAAAATATTTTCCAGCCAGGTTTTAAAAGATCTCTGAAAGATCTAACAATCTATATATTTAATGAAATACTGAATCTATGTTCTTCTCAGTTTCATTTGATTGTCTATTATTCAATCAACTAAAAAACACATGTAGTTATAATCAAGTATATATATACATGTATCATCATTACATAATGCACATACATGTATTATAAATATGTATAGATAACGACTAGGTTTTGTTGCTACCTAGATGAAACATCTGGTTTATATTGATAACATATTGATTTGATATACAATAAAACATATGTGGAAAAGTACATTTCTGGGCCTATATTTCAACAATATAGCTTTGGGTCATTTTGTCTACATCATACGTAATCTAGATAAATATATAACCATGTGCTACTGTCCAGCTTGATTGCGTTTTAATTTTTGTATTTGATTCAATTTCAGGTAACTGCAATGGCGGAGCTCCTGTTCAAACTAATTCTGATTCTGGTAGGCGTGTCAGGAGGTGCGGCTATACACCATGAATGCGGTTGGACGATCAACAGTGGGTACCACACTGCTGATTGCGTACATCGGGAACTTGTAGCCATTCCGGATAATCTCCCAGATAAAATCCAAGTGCTTCATTTCGAGGAGAACAATTTGCAGTATCTGGGAGACAGTGCCTTCAGGAGATACCTTGATTTAGTGGAGATCTATCTCAAAAACAACAAAATAGGACGAATATCTCCAGATGCATTCCGCGGGATAATTGCCTTGAAAATATTGAACTTGGAGGGAAATAAATTATCGGAAGTACCGAGTGAGATATTTGGCCACTTTGAATCATTGCGGATACTTAATCTGAAAAACAATCCAATTAAGGTTCTAACAGATTCTTCGTTCCCAAACTTGAGTTCATTGGAGAAGCTGGTATTGGAAAATTGTCATCTTAGCGTAATACACCCTAATGCCTTATATGGGCTGTCGGAGCTGAAAGATCTCTCACTGGCTAATAATCAGCTTACAGAATGGGAGTCGAATCCAGATACGGAGACACAAATATCGAAATTGCTTGTGTTGCGAATTTACCGCAACCCATGGCAATGTTCTTGTAAAATACGATGGCTCAAACAATTCCTTGATAAGTCTAATGTTAACTGGAATTTCGGAACCGATACCCCTGTTTGTGCTAGACCTGCCCTCCTCACAGCTATTAAATGGGCTGACCTAAGGCCACAACAATTTGCATGCAGACCAGAGATCCTTTCAAATAGTTCAAACTTTGATGTTGTTGAACAGAAAAACGCCACGATCATGTGTAAGATTTACGCTGATCCAAAACCCAGAATCACATGGTATAAAGACAGTATTCGGATAGATGTATCGCATCAGCAGACTAAATACAATGTTAGTGAGCCTGGCTCAACGACCTTGACGAGCTATCTCTTCATTACAAAACTTTCACTTTTAGACACTGGAGAGTATAAATGTGAGGCACAAAATTCTGGTGGAACGGCACAAGTATTGTTCAAACTGAATGTATCACCAAAACATTTCAATTACGATGACTTAACGTCACTTCTCCAAGCAGGCTCAATATTTGGAATCACTGCTGGAGTTCTACTTGTCATAATTCTCCTTGCAATATTATTCATTTATGGATACAGAAGATACAGACAACGCAAACAGGAGTATAATATACTGAAACTTAAACATGATAAGCTAAAGACAGTTAGTGATAAACATATGGATAAAGAACCAAGTCACACAAATGGTTCTCCCTTTAAATCCAAGCCCCATATACAATATACTGTTATAGATAATATGGACTTGGACCTGGAGCCAATGGATGCATCAACACCTATTAAGCCTACAGATACTATTAATAAAGGTTCATCAAGGGATCTTACACCAACTAGTATCAACTCTTCTCCATTCCATGATATAAACCCAAAATCAGGGGTACAAACCCCTAAATCAGGGGTACAGGCCCCTATATCAGGGGTACTTAAAAAGCAACAGAGTACAGATCTAGTTGACACATATCCAACATTCAACAATCAAAAACCAATATACGTGAAAAAACAAACAAGTTTCGACTTACACAACACCCCAACGAGGACTATTGAATACACATATGCTCCTGTTCAGAAGCAGCCCACAAGGCCTACACTAAATAAAAACCCAGGGATTTTAAAACATAGTTTTGAATCCTCAAGAGACAGTATAAGTGGAAGTGGGGGGTCAGACAGGGGTGGGGGATCAGTGATAGGCGTAGAGGCACCCCAAAAGCCACCCAGAAGCAATAGTAATGACCTAGAACATACTGATAGCGGCAGCAGTGGTATAGGTACAAGTAGTTTAGATGATGGACGTGATGGTAAAATCGCGACAAGGTTTATGATGCGTCCTGGAGGTAAAGACGAATATGGAACAGCTGTATAAGAAAATTACATAATAGACTTGAGACTGTAAATTATATAATGCACCCTATAATATATTCAATGAAATCTATGTTTGTCTATATTATTTTATATGCAAACAATACAGTTTTACCTGTACAGTTGAATAGTCTTATACAGTATTGCCTGTTTAAGTGGAACAGCTTTGGTATCACTAAAGGTGTTCCACTTCAGAGGTGTTCCACCTGAAGAGTCTTGGGGCTCTAAAAAGTGTTCCACTTATAGAGGGGTTCCACTTACAGATTCATTCAACTTCGCAGGTTTTACTATATGTGTTGTACATTCAACAATTCTTCTGGTAGAAGTGCATTTGAACATTAGCTTTATTTTAAATGGAGCATGTGTAATAAAAAAAACAGTTTACATGAGGGGGTGTGCCTCATACATGAAGGCACTTCTCTCTTTACGCAAACAATGAGCTCATAGTTTGCAATTTTCATCATTCTGGGTGTTTGCTATTTACAAGCTTTACTGTATACTGTACATCATTCAGTATTAAAGTTATATGATTTAAGGTAGGCCTATTGCAAATTTACAGATATAAAAATAGAGTAAATTAACTAGATTATTCACTCCATTTGGTCTACCTTAACAGTAAAGAAGCAGTTCTATCATTTTGCGAAGTATGAACTTTACTTTCTGGCTCACAATGTGATTCTAAAATGTTAAAACCAATCTGGCATCAAGTCTCTATTACCCTACCCTTTGTATTCGTTTGACTTCACTTCTTAAAAGAGAGCTTCTGTAGTTTAACTAGACTCTGCACGCAGGGTACCATATCTAGTACCCATACTTTGTGCATGTATAACCCAGATTTATCCTGATGATCAGATCTTAGTACTTTAGGCTGTTAAAAGGAGAGAAATAGATGTTGAGTAGCTGGATTTTTATCATAAACAGAAGCTCTCTTTTGAGGAACCATCATCAAATGAATGGAAAGGGAAACTCAAACCTTTACTTGTAACGGTGTCCAGTGGCATGTACAGGGTATGAGAGAGTATACTTGGACTTGATGTTAATTATTTTGGGCATAATTTTGGCACCACATCAAGGTGTGTAAAAATAACAACATATGTGAATGAATCAGGTTTTTATTAAGCAATATATTAATGACTTAACTCTTAAGGCATTAATTTACTCTTAATTAATCAAAAACAGTCTAAAGTGTTACTATAAAAATTAGCTCCTAGTATATGACAAAATATTCCAAAATGTTAGAGCTATGAGTAAAACTGTACCATTGATGGTAAATCATATAATAACACATTTTATTTATATCAAGAATGACTGATGTAATTATTGCATGAATGCGTTTTGCTAAATGTTAATTAAGGTACAGAATGGCTACTATACTTAACTTTTCCCGAGTACAGTAGTATACATTCAAATGGCTAAACTTGTTGTTTTTCATTGTTTTATTAATTCTAAAATTCCCTGACACCTTTCATTTGTGTTGCATTCTCTAATTAGTGAAAATAATCTAGGAAAAATGCCAAGCTTTTATTTACAGTTCTTGGCTGCCTCTAAGCTGTCTTGCCAAGCTGATATTTTCCCCAAAATGAGAATGTATTATGTGTATGATGTCATAGTAGCCAAAAGTGGTATTTAAATGAGTTAAAGAGGCATATACCGATTACCAGATTTGTACAAATATCATCAGCATTTGCCTCTTTAAAATTCTGACAATCAGGTTCAACCAAACATTTTTTAATACTTCCATGTAATGCACTTATATAATAAATATGTGTGCAATCATTCGATGTTGTAACATTTTAATAAATTATCAAAAACATACATGAATGACTTAATACTCCTTTTTAACTCATTTGGGTGAGCTATCGTAATCGTCCACCTATCTGTGGCATCTGTCCATCTGTCTGCCTTTGTATAAAGTCTTCAATTCATCTGTCAATCTTTATAAACATTGTCCCATAAGTGGTAACATAAAACACTGCTTCATTTCAAAATGGCAGCCATTTTGATTGCTGTCATGTGAGTCCAGTACCCATGGTACTATTAATTACAAGATAATAGGATACTTGGAAGCTCCAACCCTTTAATACTGAGATCATTGAGCATTTTTGACCTTGAAGCCTAGTGTAGAATATTGTAAAGACACCTTTAGAATGGTCTAGTTGATATGATGAGCGTTTCTTTGGAAATACCAAATGCAAGTCATTTTGCACTACATAAAAAAATATCTAAACCATAAGTCTTAAGAACATTTATCATCTTTCTCTTGTGTGAAATTGGCAGTAGCCATGTAAATATAACCACAGAGGTGTTATAATTCATTAGACTCGAACCAAGAAAAAAGATAAAATCTTACAAATTACCCCATAAAATGGTTTCAAATCATCTGAGTCAGGAATGGAGTCTTTGATCATCCATGGTAACTGCTCAATGAAAGATGAAATATTTCATTGGATGTAATTGGGCAAGATCAGGAACTCTCCCACATAAAGGTGGCAAAGATCGTAGGTTCCCCCCAAAATAATGCTTACGAGAGGATATTACAAAGAGAATATGTGCATTAATACCAGTTGATGAAACCTACTTTGAAATCTATGAAAATGTTTCATTTTGGTACATTATTTTTGAAAAAATCTGAGGAATAAATCACAAAAATCTTCTGCTAGAGAATCATAGGTCAAGGAAAAGTAATTGCCTGTTTTCAAAATATCTCTAGACACCTACCCATTTGATCATCTCCTACTTACTCACAATTAAAATACATATTTTTGTGCAACTATGTATGATAAGAATATCAACTTCATTTCAGTGTTACATTCCTAGCTAAATTCTCTTTAATTCTATTCTGCAGAAAACATTCACAATGACCCTTTATTTCGAGGAAATCTTTCGCTTGAGATCCATTAATTAAAAAAATGGTCCCTAAACAGTAACTTTGCATATATCACCAAAGCGTGGCAATCGAGTGCCATTTGCAAATTGAATTTGAGGTAACATATTTCAATAAAGGCAAGTATGACACAAAGAATAACTACAGTAAAACCTTATTTTGTGAACACCTCTTGTTTTTTTAACACCTCTTATTTGTGAACACCTGTGGAACACCTCGAAATGTAAATAAAAAAATATATATAAATGTTGGCAGAACCTTTATATATGAACACCTATTTAAAATGAACACATCAAAATGTATAATTATGTTGGGAGAACATGAACACTTCAAATGTATAAAATGTACATCCATGTTGGTTGAACATCTGTATATGAACACCTCTTTAAAATGAACAACTCACAATATACATCCGTTTTGGCAGAACATTAAAACTTCTTGAAAGTGAACACTTCAAAATGTACATCCATGTTGGTTGAACATCTGTATATGAACACCTCTTTAAAATGAACAACTCACAATATACATCCGTTTTGGCAGAATATTAACACTTCTTGAAACATATCAAAATGTACAAAATATACAAGAAATACACCCATGTTGTACATCCATATTGACAGAACCTCTAAACGTGAACAACTCTCAATTAATAAAAAATGGAAGTCTGAACACTTTCAACTTATACCACTGGTGATCAATTTAAATGAGTATTACTGTGCTTTTTAAATGACCAATTACCAAACTGTAAGATAGAAATAAAGAAATGAATGAAAGTAATATAAGTTAATTTATCCTTCTAAGGCATGCTCGAGGAATACAGGACAATAACCTAATTGACCATGTTTTCCTTGGGCTCCATTCTAGAATGTAATTGCAATTTCATTTTTGGCTCTTCTTTACTCTATTCCCAGGCCTATTTAGCAAAAATCACTGATTTGTGTCTCACTTCAACTGACTCATACAGTCATACAGAATACAAATATTTCATTTTTCTCTCTAGTAGCTGTCACACTAGGCCCTGTGGGCTCACCTTTCGCCACCATGTGAATAATTTTGGGCATTAATTTTTCAATCAATTAACTAATTTTTTTTTTTTTATTTATTTAAAATTAACTTATTTTTGTAATTGGTCGGAGGGGTGTATCTTGCTATAAAACTATTTTTACCCAACCTGTATCCATCCCATGCCCTGCTGTCTGCCCCAAAGTATTTACACGGTTGCGAACAGTGAGCCCAGTCACAACCTAACATGACAGCTTCATTATAAAGCCCCAAAATTCGTTTTTCATCAAAATTAACCATAAACAAAATAGAAGGATTCAATCTCTGTTTAGGGTCAAAGTAACATATAATGTGACAATTGAGTGAAGATGGATTCCCAGATGAAAGTTCCAGATATAATGGAATCGAGACAAGAAGACGTGGTAATTGGCACTCACAATTCTCAGTGGCAACTCAATCACATTATGTCACTGTCAGCGATTTGAACACGGAAAAACAACATGTAGTTAGAGTGCAAGTGGCCATCCTGTATGAATCGCTTACTATAAGGAGATCTTCAGAGGGCTATAGTGCACATGCCAAAGCTTTGAAAAAAGTTGGGCCATACACAGCCGTGGTCTACGGGTAATTAAGGATTACACATGTAGTTACGGTGCAAGTGGCCTTCCTGTATGATTCAGCTCCTTCAGAGGGTACAGTACACATCCTAAAGCTTCAAAAAAGTTGGGCACAGCCGTGGTCTACTGGTTCACCAATGAATCTGGCTTGAAGTGGCTCAATCTCTGAAACGTCTCTTTTGCTAAACAAAAGGTTGCATATTTCAACATGTAAATCAACTAAATCAATAAGGATAGTATATGATAAAAAGCCAACCATATTTAAAGGCATACACATGTACATGTACTTGGAGAACACAGAATCATACAAAATCTGATCAGCATCTTCAATGCAAGCAAAAAGATAGTTCTTTAGACCCTCCAATAATTGACACTCTAGTTAAAGCATTCCAGATTTACATATAATAATTCAGTCCAAATATGCCTTGTGTTGAGACAATCTCCAAATCAACCATTACAACAATGCACCCCACTCCCGCCATAGAAATAACACACACATGTTGCTGTTAACGCCTCAAGTCACTCATCGTTAATTAAAAATCATGTATTTATGCTTTCTAATTCAAATACACTAAAGTCTTACAGAGATAATACAAGTGCTAACGAAAAGAAATCATTTTCCTTGGACGACACTTCTATAATACACTCAATCTGCCTGACAAGGCTGATACCAAGACAAAATAGTTCCCACGACGCCTGAATATACGCTCCAGTGCTCATAATCCCGTAAAATATTATCAAACCTAAATAGGCTTTTCTTGAAAGATTAAGGAAAAAGTAAAACATGCAAAGCTGCTGTCGTTTGAGAATTCTGCAACATTGTTGACAGATCAGTATACAATCAGATATCATTCCTATCTATGAATCATATCAATTGAAATCATAAAGGGAAAATATTTTCTGCCAGGGCAAGAACTGAAAATGGAGGCTCAAGAAATGTAGGAAAACACCGACTGATTCCTAGACTGATTTGGTTCATTTCTTTAGCCAAATGATGAAAACTTAACTAATTTCATTCAGAGGTCCTTGAACATCTGTACAATTAACTTTAAAACCTCTAAGCACCATTAAAGTTGCCCATGAGGAATACAAATGGTGTAATCTGGGATAATGGATGGGAGATATTGGAGCATGGTGGTGGCATAACTCACCATGGAAAGATTAAAAAACAATTTGTGATCTAAATTGGGAAATTTCAATTAAAAATTCAAAACACATTTCATCTTCCCAATTCTACTGACAGGGCTTATCTTATTTTCGCAAAAAACAATAAAACCCCGTTTTTTCAATTGTGACCCCTTACTCACTTGTACCCTTGTAAAATAAATACCTAAAATAAAGTATATACTAAAACCAAGGATAGCAAGCTGAGGAACCAAATTATATAGATATTAAAAAGGATATTTTCCTTTATTCAAACAAAGTAAGAAAGGGGAAGAATTTTTTGATCGGGCAGCAAAATCAATCAGACTTTAATAGATTTCCAGGCGCAATTCTTCCCAAGTATACACTAATCAGTCTAGTAATTGTTTTTATGTGTAAGTCTCTTCAAAACCTATTGGAAAAAGTTCAAATTCTCCAGTTTTGGTAAAAACTCTAATCCCTGTTACGTGCAAATGAGCATTAGGCGATCTATTTTGTGCCGTCTAAATCGTATTATCACCCACAATAATTTCATTTAAAATGGAATTTGCGTGATTATATCTATTTTGCCTGAAAGTGTTTCAACATCATTAATACAGGCCTCTATAATGTGCGGTTTAACTTAATTATGGTGGCAACATTGTATTTGATCAATGGATGCTCGGCTATCCATTTATTTAAGCCACATCATTTCGGTGAATAACCCTTTATTTCAGCTTGGTTCATTTCATGTCAATGAAAGTTATATCAACATCTATTGTTTGGAATAATTTGGTGTGAATTGGTGTGTTTGGATGAAAATAATTCAGCACAACTTATTTGATATTAGGATGATTGTTTTTGCAACTTATGTAAATGGAACATCGAACGTGTACTACTTGGAATTGGAAGGTGTTCATTTTTATTTTACAACAAGGAGGCAACAGAATTTTGAAGAGTTCCACTTATGGGGCTGTTTTACTCACAGTGATGTAAGAGGAGGGAAAACCCCATGATTCAATTGATGACATATGATTACCTCCTTCGCGCACCTCCTTTCCCGGAAGTACTTTCCATCTTGGTTTTCAAAATTGACCTAGTTTTAAACCAATCAACGATCGACTCACTAAACAAATCAGCGACGATGTCATCTCAATACAGATTTACATTATAAGCGCATGTCATCTTTGAACCCTGGGGTTTCTCCCCCTCTTCAGAGATGTTCAATTTTACATGTTTTACTGTACTTCCATAGTTAAAGGCGATGCCAGGTAATGGCAACATAAAATAACATTGTTCTAAAACAATCCATTATGGCAAATATCAATATTAAAAGTGACATTTCCTTTAAAATCCTCTGACATTCATCTTTATTTTATAACATGGAGGCAACAGAATTTTGAAGAGTTCCACTTATGGGGCTGTTTCACTCACAGTGATGTTCAACTTCACAGGCTTTACTGTACTTCCATAGTTAAAGGCAATGTCAGCTAATAGCAACATAAAATAACATTGTTCTAAAACAATCCATTAATGGCAAATATCAATATTATTAGTGGCATTTCCTTTAAAATCCTCTGACATTGAACTATAATTTTAGCATAAAGCCATCAATGATCTTGTCAAAACACTGAAACCTTCAGCTCTGACAGGTTTATAAAAGAAACCTTTTATTTATAATTTCCCTACATGGTGTTCCATGTGACTCTTTGCTCATGCGGTTGCAAAGTTCCCAATATCACAACTTTTACCAAAGTTTATCAAAATACATCAATATCTGTTTTTCATGATTTTTCAAGCGGGTGCAAATGGACATATCAATGCATGTAGTGATGAGCTGACAGACAGAGGCATTCATCATATCCCCATTGACACTAGTCTACAGAAGGATGATACTAACTGAAGTTGGTATCATCCATTACGCTTAAGTAAAAAAACGTTATCCAAATATTTTGTCACCCTAACGAAGATAGTTCTGATTGTAAACAAGTACAAAGTAATGCTCAAACATCTCAGAAATCAGAGATATTCAAAGGAAATGGCTTCGTTTGTTAGCAAGATGTATACAAATGACCATGTTGGCAACACCGCAAATAGTAAAGAAATGACTAAACTGCCATAAAACAGACACCTTTTTCATTCACAAAGAATAAAGCCGAGAAAAAGATATGGCCAGGATTACAAAGAGGGCTAATTTGACAACTGCACTTCCTACTTTGAGGCAAATCTGATATATACGCGTACACTGTACATGTATTGCCTCACATATTTAAGGGCCTCTCATGTCTCAAGGTCACTTGTGTCTTCAGGCAATAGTTTTAATTTAAATTAAGAGTGATGAATTGATGAGGTTGCAATTAAACCTAAGGCAATTTTATTTCTAGCGATAAAAATCCATATTTTCTATTTTGCTAAGAGCAGAAATACACAAATGACCTCTATTCAGTTTAGCAGGACTTATATTTCAGTCATTTGTTGTCCAAATTTGCAAATTCCCCAAAAAACAGAAAAAATGTGTCTGTGAGTTGAGTGTATGTTGTACGTTTTAGTAGATTGTCAGATTATCATACGAAACATAGGGAATTTCATTTTGCACAAATTTAAAATAATTTTCCTTTCATGTGTAATTTGTCTATACATGTAAATCTGTATCATACATGCATATCTGTGTGTGGATGCACTACAGTTTAATTGATGCACCACTGTTGTCAAAATGAATGCGACATATAAATAAAAAATAAATTCATTCAATAAACTCACATTTTCAACCTTACATTTTCAACCTTGCAGACATGCATATTTGAGGGTTTGGTTTCAGTGCCAATGTATTATGGTTCTTATTTGATCCAGGCTTGAATTGATGGTGTGTATGTGTGTATGTGTATGCAAAAGCTGACTTACCTTTTGGATAATATGCTCAAAGTTGATTCCAAGCTCTGGAAATAAACAAATCACATGCATAATCATAGTTTGTTCTAGTTGGGTGTTATTTTGTAATTCATGTTTTCAGGTAGAGGGCAGCACCTCCTAGGGGTGAACTGTCAAGGCCTATTGCGCCAATTTTTATATATTTTTCTATAAATATCAAAGATATTATTATCTATTATTTGCAAAAATTCATTCACGTTTGAACTTCAAAAACTTCAGTTTCAAATATGTAACATGTTATCTCATGATTATTTCACACTTCCCGGAGGCTCACCTTCCATTAATGGTGGTTCATCTTCGAAACTTTCAGAGCCAGTATAGGGGGCACTGGATGTATCTGGGGTCATAATGGATCCTGTGTAATCACTAGGGGCACTGTATGCATCATATGGCTGTTGCCCTCCTTGACTGTAGTCAAACTGGCCGAAATCCCTAAAAATTTGAAAAATATAGTTAATGCGTTTATAAAACAAGGAATAAACATGCAAAATTTTACAACCTGCCTTTTGTTACAGATGCTGTCTGTCAAACACCAACCGCCGAATGCCAACCCCAAAACACCAACCACCGTCCACAAAAAATTGGAGACTATATGTCACCACTTCTGGTGGTGACTTAACAAATGAGCTGACATATTTTTTTATGGAATTCTCTCATGATCTCATTTTCGACTGTTTCATAATATATACAGAAAGATATGATTTTAGCATGGTGCTTAATAATAAACCCAATAACTCATGACTAACTATCAACTCTCAACTTAACCATAGGCATTCAACTAGATTATGCCCATGACTCAACTAATGTTAACTCTCCAGTGTGTGTGAGAATTCTTAATGGGAACAGATGCGAAAGGGTATGGTTTGATGTTACACTACAGAATTACATTCCAAAAATTTTGAAAGGAGGTTTTCCCAAAAAGACAAGGGAGAGTAAAGATAATGAGCAATAACAAGGATAACAACCACACAAAGTACAAACTTACTGCTGTTGATTGTCTGAATAGCCAGGTACCCCTGGTTGTTGTTGTTGTTGTTGCTGGGACATGTCATACTGCTGTTGCTGGTTATAATCAGCTTGGAAGAAGCCTTGGTTATCCTGCCCATAACCTGCCATCTCTGATCTTGATATCCCTGCAATGGTGATTTAGATGCCATATATATGAATTTTACGGATTGGTCATTTGTGGTTAAGCTCAACATTAATGTGGTTGACTTCTTGTTGAGTAAAGTAGGTGTGTAGACAGTTCGAAAGTTGCACAATCTTTGAGGTGGGCAGTTTTTAATTGGAGTGCCTTGAAAGAAGATTGTGGGGAGTTCCAAGCTAAGTGAAACCATACTCTCAAAAACAATGAATGGCAACCAATAAAGATGGAGAATGGAGATATGAACTAACATTCTATACAGAGTTACACATGCCTGTTAGCCATGAAGCCAAAAATTATGCAGTTTTCACCATTCTGAGCACTTTTCAATTGATTTTGGCCATTTTTGAGCCAGAGTTGTCCGAAGTGGCTCGAAGTAAACACCCTCTGGAATTTAAAAAAAATTGAACCCCCTTGCCAAATCCTGACTATGGGCCTTGTTACATGCACATGAAGGTATGTTTGATATAGGCTTGGTTCTATTCGTACATAGCAAGGGATTAGAAGCACAAGCAAGAACTAATGAATATGTTAGAACATCAAGCTCTCGAAAGCCCATGATTAGAGCTAGTTTCAAAATGTAATCTAGGGTGCAAAAGGACCTTTCCAATACTGGTAAGTAGACACGTCATGAAGGCATGAATGTCATATAAATTTCTTATTTTTCAGGGTCAAAGTACTTTACACATCCGACTGTAAGGTATATGGCTATATCACTAGATTCTGAGATCAACTTTATTGGTAGTCTAGTGGATCATGCAAGGTGACAGCAAAATGCCCAAACTTTGACATTTGATCATCTGTTCTGCAGGAAAAAGTGACAAGTAGAAAAAATACTCTATTATCGCCCACCTAAAAATAAAATAAATTTCTCTCGACTTTCTCTAGTTGTTTTAGAGAAGTAATTACTATCGAGCAATTCGTATCAAATCTTGAGGTGTTGCTCGATTATCTAATGAAGCATTTTTAATGATAAATCCCCTACCTCTGGTGTGATACACAAATAGTTTTTCTTACGTGGAAATATTTTTTTGTTTTTACTAGAAAGTGACACCACAGTTTGTAAATTTGGAGTAAACTTGCGATATGTGTTCTACAAGGTTACTATTTTTCGTTTTAAGATCAACATTTTTGAAATATAGTTTAGATAGGATGTTAACTGTCGATTTAGCAATAAAATACATGAGGAAACTCAATTTTGAAAATTAAATCTTTTCTAACCGTGTTGTGAGTTATTCCCGGAAGTCGCCATTTTTGTAAGTTTCCTTGTTTTATTTTGTAATTTATTAGTGTCTCACGTTCCACCTAGACAAGTATTGCATTTGTTGCAAAAACCAAATCATACTTTGAAATCCCTTTGTTTGTTTGATTCAACATATTGTGAGTAATTATGGATCATTTTACCAAAATCCACTTTGTTATAGAGTCTAGAGCTACTTCCTTGTTACTGTCTATATTTTTTAATTTTTTAATATTTCGGATTTTCAAAGTTTATAGAACGCAAAATTACAACCATATTTTCTCTGGCTCAGTAAAATACAATGATTGTCAGTGTGGTAAAGCACAATTCACAACAATTACTGTCAGTCAGGCCCACTTACTTTCTCAACCTTCAACCATACTTTCTGCATTCTAGGACAAAGGGGTGTAACGTTGACGTGTGGGGTAATGTAGACATGAGATATGGAGTAACTTCGAGACTTACATTTTAGAAGTTCCATTTTCCGCCATGTTTGATTTCTGGAAAAATAAAGTCTTGAGAGATTTTGATTCATGTGAGAAAAAAACATGGCTTCCCAAACATTATATCAAACATCAAACATTATGTCATAGAAAATATTTATCGACTATCCATTCCTTAGTTGTGACATTAATGTAGATGCCCTTATCACAGAATACATTTTAGTGATGTCTGGAGATGAGGTTATTTATTGCAAAGAATCATGTTATTCGAACATGACTGTATTCAAGCCTTAGATAAACTTTGAACAAAGTCTTTATTACTCTCAGTATTTATTTGTTGATACAATACCTGGTCTGTAAACTGGGGAGTAAAAAATAAATGGAGTGATGATTTTCCAAAATGTTTGTGAGTTTTCATGTTGGAATCGTAATATAGACCTCAGATGAGGTATTATATCAAGTAATAAATACCTTAGGGCTAGGCACAAAATCTTTCCAACTCCTCACTTCCCACGGTTGTTTGGGTAGAGAAAACATTTGTACCCTAGCCCTGCAGTATTTATTCGTCTATATAATACCTGCTCTTTGGTATATTTCTTAGTTTAAGTCTTGTAAGTGGACGAGTCTATTAGGAGGGAATAGTTTACCATTACTGTAGTACTGTATGAATGAGTCCAGTGATCTCCCCATGTCACTTTTACCGGGGGCTCCCCCTACTTGAAACCAAAGGCCCCCCAGTTGGCACCCAGTTGGAATCTGCACTTCAACTTCTGATTTGAAAAATGAGTGAAGTTAGCACCTACACTGAGATATTGTGAGCGTAGCTAGTGCTGATTTTTTCAGACTAGAAATATTGCACCCAGTTGAAAATTTTTTTTGGGGAGAACACTGGAGTCATCTGCTGTATTAGTTTATTGATTCAATAAAACCTGTTGCTGATACTCCAATATTGAAACCAAAATATTGAAGAATTACCAAACTATGAAATGTGAAATCAACGGCTGAGATTCGGATTTCGCATTTATTCAGTGATTTTTTCTGAAAATTCCAAACTTACCAGGAAAAATTTATTTTATTATTCTTTGATATTCATGTTTGGCAAAACACAACTGATTTGATGAATTATATGGGTGCATCATCGTAATTCTTTTTCTTACCTCAGCAGTTGGATGTACTCACGGTTGACTCAATATGTCGGGACCTGAAAGAATCACGTTACCAGATGCTCTGCAGAATGTTGATGTGTTAGATGAACTGAAACTGCCAGATCAACAGCCATGTATAGAGGCGGCTAATATGCCCATACACTATGTGGTAAGTGAAGCAGATTTAGACATACATATATTCAAGCTTATGATTTAATAACAAATGCTGTTTGTGGCCTCTTTCTTGTATATTACTCTTTAATCCAGTGATATTCTCAGTTGAGCAACGAGACACATGTACTCTATTCATTAAAAATCTCATTGTAACATGCAATATCAAACTACTACCAAAACTTTTTGAAAAATATACATCCTGCAAAAAAGGGTGAAATATTAAGATACTTTTTACCGAAACAGGTAATATCAAGGCTACAAGAATATGATTCAGTGATGACGGCTCAGGGATCCAGCAAAAATAGAATGAAATATTTGTTTTATTATTCTCCTTTCTCCCATATCTGTTATGAGCCAACCTTGAGTCCCATTATATCTGACATGACCAACATATGTATTGTTTCTCTTCAGAGATCCTTATATCACATGACTACTATCTTACATTGTAGGCAAATTTGGACACCAACTTTGAGGACCGTAATGCATTCGTCACTGGTGTGGCCAGATATATAGAAGAGGCCACTGTACATGCACAACTAGTGAGTAGTAGTTTAGTTTGTAATGGAATATTTTTCCCACTACACAGGCAAATTACATCAGATCCTGTACGAGGTTCTACAAGCCCCATTCCCGAAACGGGCTCTCTACAACCTTGTACGGGCCAAGTAACGATTCCCATAATTGCTCGTAATTTTTGAACCTCTCCTCTTTCGTATGCTGGAACAGTATAAAGCTAGGGAACAATTTGTCAGTGCAGACACCATATATATAAACTAGTGAAAAAAGTGCATATTAATACATTACTTAGTACATAATCAAAGGTAGAATTGATTTTTTTCTTGCCAGAAAAAGTTACAATAATTGTAATGGGCTTGTACAGGCCTCGAATTGAGAAACTACGGGCCTCGTACTTGACTCTACGGGCCTCGAAAACGAGCATTGTACAGGCCCGTATAAGGAATGTGCTCCTTTTTGCCCATATTGACTCGTAATTTTCGAGCCTTGTTCAAGCTTGTACGGGGCCCGATATAATTTGCCTGTGTATGGTATGTGTATTACCGGAACACCTCTGTTAGTGGAACACTTCCATAAATGGAACATTATCATCTTGTATTCAGTTTGAAATCTATTTCCACTCAAATAACTAAAGTCTGCAGATAAAATCGAAAAAGGTGGTCAAATATAGTATAATGTTTCTGAAAATATTAAGTTGATTCTGCCTATATATGGACCGATTTTTCTTTACCTAACAAGAGGTACGATATTGTAGTCAGCTTGACGGGTGGCGGACAGGCGGGCAGCGTCTCACTTTTCAGCTTGTCTACAGGTTTCCAGCCAAATCATTTCAGGGATTCATCTGAAATTTTCAGGGATGTTTCTACATATCAACGTCAAGAACTGATTAGTTTTTGGGCATTCTGGGTAAATCTTAAGGTGGCCATTTGGATTTTCCATCCTAAAATCGTCACTTTCAAGACTTGTCTACAGGTTTCCAGCCAAACCTTTTGAGGGATTCATCTGAAATTTTCAGGGATGTTTCTACATATCAACGTCAAGAACGGATTGGTTTTTGGGCATTCTGGGTAAATTTTAAGGTGGCCATTTTGGATTTTCCGTCCTAAAATCTTGTCTATCGAGGCTTGTCTACAGGTTTCCAGCCAAACCGTTCAAATTTTTACATATGTTACACAGTGATAAGTTCTAGAGCTGATTAACTTTTCTGCGGCCATCTTGCTTTCTTGGTCAACAAGACCACAATGCTGTGTTTTAGGTACGATATTGTTCACGTCTGTGCCTTGTTTAAAATATTATGTTTTTCATAGGGAGACATTAATGTTATCTGATTTACATCCACAGTTATATTTATGTTCTAGAATATACTGCTAGAGGAAGGAGAGACCTATGCCGTCACACTGTATACATGGAGGTCATGCTCCAGGGCATTGCCTCAAGTGAAGTCAAATGACCAGCCAAACAGGGTAGAGATCTATGAGAAAACAGTTGAGGTACTTGGGCCTCAGGTGGATAAAATGATGAAGGCTATGTACTTTACAGTAAGTCTGTAGTTTTATTATATTGGGAATACTGGCAGGCCCGCAGCCAGGATTTGCCAAGGGGGGTTCATTTTTTGAAAAATTCCAGGGGGTTCACTTCTGACAATTTTGGTCCAAAAATGGCCAAAATCACTTAAAAAGTGCTCAGAATGATGAAAAATTGCATGATTTTGAAAGATATTTTGGCCAGGGGAACCCATTGAACCCCCCTTGGCTACGGGCCTGACTGGTAAACATAAAATATTTAACACTCGTTTGAAGAGAAAGTTCATTTTGCTCATTTCATGAAATACATGGTGGGCTAAACAAAATTTATCCTTATGCATATGTTTTAGGGTACAATCAGAATGGGTAACACTCTAAAGTATTTCACATAACCTAAAGGAGTACAGGATAGTATAAATTGCATTTACTTAAGACAGGTTAATCATACAGATGGTCATTTCTAGGAACTTCTTAAAGTTAGAAATTCCTAATAGTCTATAGTTGTACATCAGATTTCAGCTTGAATTTAGAATTTTTAAAACGAAAACTTCTTGGAACATCCATGAGGTTGTAGACCATCATCCTGAGAAGCAAGAAATAAAATAACTACAAATTATGATAAACATATTATTCTTTATTTAAATAAAACTAATATGTATACAGCTGCATATAAACATTTCAATTATACTTTAATTTGGCAGTCATTTATTTTATTTACAGAAATTATGATACATGGATATACTTGTATAATCATGAAAAAATATTGCATATGGGTTAAAAATATCTGTTTTCAATATGTAAGCTACATAATATGCATAGATTTTGAAATAATTATTGTATTTCCTATATTAAGTTAAAGCATTTTTTCTTAAAATCATTTAATAAAATAATTTTTTATTAAAATCACATAAATATATTATATATTACTTAATTAGTGTTAAATACGCTGCATGAGATGTAAGACTTTTTACAAGATAAAAACGTGTACACATAGATATACCTTTAATATCACAATTTGAAATACATTAAACATAAACAATACTACAAGCTACTGTACATATTTTTTTGTAATGCTAATGCAACATCTTTTTAGGATTCAACCCCTCGAAGGTTTATAAACACAATGAAACAAAATTATTTGTCCAATAAAAACATTCTATTAAAAAAACATTCAATTTAATAGATGGCACAGCTCTCTCAAAGTTTTTTAAATAAATATCTACATTTCACAAAACTTTATAGCTTACTAACAATTTTAACATTGTTATACCTGATTCATATGATTCATACTTATCTTAGAAAAATATACATTTTATTATCGTATGATCTGTAAAATGAAGCCCTCTGATTGGTCAGTTCTTGTGCTGTACCAATCTGTATCGCTACTAAGGTTGTCCCTGTTGATCATCTCCGTCGCAATACAGAAAATATTGGTACGGAGGGGGCAATCTCAGTAGCAATACAGAGGATCATACAATAAAAACGTTGTTGAATGATTTGAAGTGCAATACAGGATATATTCTGTCTAGATATTCTGTATTGGCACTCGACTTCGTCTCGTTCCAATATTGAATTCTTGAGCAGAATATATCCTGTATTGCACTTCAAATCATTCAATAACTTATAATGTTGTTTTTCCAAAAAATGGAAATCATATAAGACAACAGATTTTGATCACATGAATTTGCTTTCACCGGGTACTCCTCTTCATCCTTACCCTTTGCATTCGTTCGACTTCACTTCTGAAGAGAGCTTTCTATATATGGTCTTTTCCTTGTACATCATCGCATAGTTTATGAGCACGTATTTAGCGTGTGTTCCTTCCAGTTCGCTGATTGGTTGAGAAAAGATCAGCGTGGTACATTTGAAATGATTTATGACCTGGGCTGTTACAGGCACCGGTCATGGGGGCGGGGTTGCTAAACTGTAATATAGTCTATGTAGCTCATAAATAGACTTCATCCTGTTCTTCTTTAATTAGTGTTAAAATTTATAACTCCAATATTGTCCATAAAGGGAAGGAGTGTTTCTCATCCCAGTAGTGGTGGAAGTGTCAATCTTTATTATTCCAAATTGCACATATACATCCTTGAATTTTTCCATTAAATAAATTCGACAGACATGCACCATCGAACATGTTTATACAAACAGCATCAAAAATGGTTGTTTCTTGTGTAAGATTCACAATTCATATTTGTTTCCAAAAAGCATTGTAAATTGCCTCAGACAATTTTTCTGAGGGTATTCCCCTTCTTTCATCAGTGTTCTTTAAAGTAACATCTATAGTTTAGTCGTTATATGTTTATGTAGTTTATTGGTTTCTTGAAAACAATAAAGTTCCACGGAGATGAAGAAAAAACATTTTAAATTGTCCCAGTTCCACCGTCCCTTATAGAACTTTGATGTTTGTATAGTCCTCCTGGGTTGTTCTGTGGACAGTGTTCAAGGCTGGAATGGAGGGGTGTGTCATATTGTCCTTAAGCTAGCATAAAATATATATTTCATGTATGGCCTTGTCACATTTTACGCAATGTGTTAGTGCCCTACCCCTTTGTTGTTGGTAGCAGCCTGGGCACCACAGACGATGGCCACATGGATCTAAGATGATCGCCTTCTTGTTTTTGTGGCATATGATACATAGACTCTCCCAAAGTTCCACTGCTTTCAAACAGGCCATGATATCCACAAACACTTCAAATTGATGATCTGAAAAACATTAAGTTTAAAACAAATGGTATGGTATTTTAAAACTATACTTATACCATTATACCTCTTGTCTGACCATGACCTTGTTGACAAGTAGCAAACATTTGATACGTATTACAAAACAAATAGCAAATTGCTGTTTTTAGGAAGCAGAAAATAAGGCCTGATTTCAGGTTTAAATATCTGCATGTTTGTTTAAGACACGGGCTCAGTTTTTAAATGTTATTTGTGATAAAACTAATACAGGGTGGTTAAAAAACAGAAACCCTGCATTTTCCTCATATCTATCAGTCTGATGGTCATGAAATAGTAATGCCTAGGTCACATTTGCTCCGATTCATCAGCTAGCACCTGGCCGATTGCAGTGTTTTTTTCAAAACAGATTTCCACTTGCTACAAATTGACCAAACATTTTTTTTAAATCATGAACAAGTCGCAATGTCGCAAAAAATTGGTTTGAAAGCTATTTATCTGATAGGAAAATCATTACTTCTTTTAACAACACTCTATCTGAAGAAAATATTATCACTTGTGGTGTACCTCAAGGGTCTGTTTTAGGCCCCATCTTATTCATTCTCTATATAAATGATTTACATAAGGTTTCAAATATTCTTAAATTTACTATTTTCGCAGATGATACAAATATCTTATGTTCAAACAAAGACCTTCATGATCTATATAGAAATGTAAATCTAGAAATGGAAAAGACATTAGAATGGTTCAAATCAAATAAACTTTCTTTGAATATAGACAAGACAAATTATATGCTATTTACAAGATCAAAGTTAAATATTGATGAAAATCAAGATTTTAATATAAAAATAGGGGGTAATATTCTTGAAAGAGTAATGCATACAAATTTTCTGGGAGTAACAATTGATTGTAAATTAAAATGGAATGAGCACATAAATAAGGTTATACATAAAATATCTAAAATTATTGGTATTCTGGGAAAGATTAAATATAAATTGAATACAAAAACCATGATTACCATTTATAATTCACTTATATTATCACAATTGAACTATTGCAACATCATATGGGGTAATGCATGTAAAACCTTTTTGAATAAATTGCTTTTGTTACAAAAACGTGCAGTGAGAATAATCACAAACTCTGACTTTTTAGCACATAGCCCACCTCTTTTTAAACAACTCAATTTTCTAGATATTTTTGACATACATAAGCTTGAAGTTGCAAAATTTCTTTATCAATACACAACAAAACCTGATGGCTTTCCTTTTGACATATTTGAAAATTATTTTACTCCAAATTTGATATTTCACGAACATGAGACAAGATTCCAAAATTGTCTTCACATGAAAAAATTTAGAACAATTATAGGTCAAAACTCAATAAAATATTCAGGTGCTCAGCTTTGGAATAATCTGCCAACTTGTTTGAAAACATTACCTTCCATAAACTGTTTTAAAAAGAATTTTAAAATTCATATGACATTAACCTATGATGAACTGAATTACTGACAAACATATATGTAGATTTTATATATTGTTATCAATTTTATTCTCATTTAACTGAGTAAATATATTTAAATTGTTCTTTTTATTCTCATTTCCATTTGACTCAGGTTAATATTTAAATGTTTTCACGCTGATACACTTACTAAAAGTGTCAAGTGTTATTATGTATTTGATTTTAATTTTAGAGAATAAATATTTTTAATAAAAAAAAAAAAGTTCTCAGGAGTTCACACCTGACTTAAATCTGAGATTTGACCTTTAATTTTAAACAAAATACTCAATCGCCCGGATGCCGGCCGATGTATTGGAGCAAATGTGACCTAGGTATAAGCTGGTAGGAAATGATATCACATCACTTAATTCTGGGAAATTATGGCAGAATGCCAGTATTGCAGGCAGTGAGGTTGTGTCAGGACAGGAAGTCCTCCTCAAAAAGGATTCAAAGCTGTACAACAAATGGAGAAAGATGAGATTCCAACAAATGTATTCTAACAAATGTAAAAGACAACTTATCGAATCTTGAAGATGTTTACAGACTTTACATGGAAGATCCAAATCTAATTTTTATCCATTATTAAAGATTTTTAACCATATCTAAATTTGATAATTTGTTATGAAAAATCAAGGAAGCCAATTACTCTGATGCGAGTAGTTAGTTTCCAGTTTTGTCACCAGGTGGCTGCTTCGGGGAAAATAACATGGCAGGGTATTGCAAAATTCCCTTTAACTAGAACATTCATCAGTGTTAGTGGTTCACTTTTCATATTACCCTTATGTATCTGATAGTTATACAAATTAAAATATGTACAGTAAAAGAAAATATTATCT